ATCACTGATCGAATTTTCGGGGGTCCTCGCGGTTCGATGGCCATCGGCCCAGCTCTATCGATCAAGTATTTAATAATGAAACAAATTAATTGAAATAAAAATTCAGAAGAGCAAGGCAGTTCCATAGATACAGGTGGACGTATACCTCGACCAGCCAATCCACTACCGCGAGAAGAGAGCGAAGATCAAGAGGAAAAGGCTCGTCTAATCGCTCAAGTTCTCGAACTTCAGAATACGCTTGATGGTTCGAATTTGAGTTATTGTTGTATAAATGATACAGCAGTTAATGGCATTAAACACGAAATTTCAGACTTAAGTCAACGTGTTGATAGTGTGAAAGAGGAAAGTTTGAAACTTCGTTCGGAGAATCAGGTGCTCGGGCAGTACATCCAGAATCTGATGTCATCAAGTTCAGTATTTCAATCAGCGCAACCAAAACCACCCACTAACAAGTAAAATATTCCTTAAATCAGTGATATTCTTATCCGTTATTTATTATCACACAAATATTATAACAGAACAACTGCCGAAACCGAACTTCTAGTCCTCGTTCTAATTATTTCTTTATTATTTGTCAAGTTTCATTAATATTTTCCCTCTTCCGTAACCTCAAGCTCACAAAAGTGGATTATGTCCGCTAGCCTAAGTTCCTTATTTTCTTCATATTAATCCAGTGAAAAGCTCTTTATCATGAATAAATAGGTGTACGGTTAATCCAATATTATGTCTGCAACCCTTGCGTGAATAATAACAATACTACCGTCGGTCTATATTCTACCAACTTAATCCATAATCTATCAAGAATCTGTCTTCTTTCTCAGCTGATACTAATTGGTTGCATAATAATCAAGCTCAGTGAATAATCTCAATGAGCGAATGATGAATGACTTGCTTGAAGCGCATCCCATATCAGTTCGAGATGGTGATGATATGAGTGCATGTGCCTAATCAGTAATTTATATCATCGTTCTGTTGTTATTTTTAGTTGATGATTAAGGCATGTTCTATTATTGCGATCTAATTTATTTGTTTATTCATCAGTTTGATATTCTTTTATGGTCAGTTCCTTTCCTATCGTAACAGACGATTGAGCTGAAGAATGACGCTCTGCTTGGCAACTGTTATGTTACTGCTCAGGTACGGTGTAAGGTAAGCCAGTCGGCTTCTGTCTTACTATCGACTTGTACGCACGATTGCAGCAGATATGCTTAATGTCAAGCATAATTTCTACCGCATAATACTTTGTAATCTCTGTGTTTTGTTGTAATTTCTCTCTGAAGTTTTTGAATTTTTTCATGTGTTAGTCTTTGCTGCGTCATTCCCTAGTCTGATCTTTTTGAGCATTTTCTATGTTCCTGAAAATCTGGATCATTTGAAAGTCTTTAATGTTGTGAGGAATATGATGTAGTATTGATTGGAATATTTAAGCAGTTAAATACTAATCGATAATACACTCACTTTCATCGATTATCTCCTTTTACCATTGTTATATTCTCATGCTTATAAATTATGTCGATATTGTTTTAAGTTTCATTCAATAAAGTTTTGAACTTCCTCCGTTCTAACAGATTATGAATACTATTCATCGAGTATTGCTTACACAGCCATCGATATGATAGGCTTAATCTGTGTCATTATGACGAATTTCATCGCGTTAGGCTCAGATTGATTCAAAGAAAAATGTTAATTGGATAGTAGGTGCAGATTTCATCTGGTTAAGTAGTTTTGATGTGAACATGAAGTAGATGATTAGTTAGAAGGGAAATGATACATAATTCAACAATTCAAGTGAATGAGTAGTTTTTATGTGGTAAGTGCATGTGAATAGGAGTGTATCAATTAGTTTGCATGTTTATGTTTATTGTTTATCGAGTTCTGTTTTATCTTCACTCTTTCGTTTGATCTCTCTGAATGTTCCATCGTTTGCACTTGTAGCGAAAGATTACTTATCATATATTATTTGAGCAGATCGACGTTCATACTGATCACTTTCAATAATCAGTCGATGTGGTGTACTTCAATTTCTTTTTGATAAATATTGTTTGGTTTGTTTGAATTTTAGACCTGAAATGTTCGGTTCATTCTTCTGGTGAAGTGATCATCGCTTTGGTGTGGATGGTGTATGGGTCGAATCGGTTCGCGATGGATTAGCATCACCGATCTGTCATAAAGAGCCAATGCTTGCATCATTCATACTCACGCTGCAGTGTAATACAATAAGCTTTATCCATTCCTATGTTATCATTATTATTATTACCGTTGTTGTTTATTATAAATAAACCGTTCTGTTTTTATTCGCACTCTTCAAAACTTTCAATAAAACATATTATCATTATTATGTGTGACACCAACAAAGTGAATCGTCTTTAATAAGCAAATTGTTAGAACATCACCGAAATAGTAACAATAATAAGCGAACAACAAATCAATGAACAACATCTATTATTACATACATCGTAGTTTTTTACGTAGGCAAGTTCTTCTAACCAATAATATTTCAAATTGTCAGTAATAACGATGAAGAAGTGTTATTTTTTATTTTTATGCTGTAACTTTCGCTGTCTGACCATTTCAGAAAGGTATTTAAACCGATCAATACACTGTTGTTTTGTCTTATTCGGAACACAATTCACGATTTTATCCCATCTGGAATCAATTGTAAGAGTAACGATACCAATTCAAAACAAACGCGAGCAGATGTAACAAAAATCGTACCGATCCGCAGTTCCTTTCGGGAATTGTTGCAGGGCAGTCTCGAATAAACGTTGGTCGTGCTGCGACCATTCATCTGCTGGCGAAGATATCACATCGTTCGTATTCGTATCACCACCACACTTATCGTTATCATCATAAAACTTGTCTTTATCTTTCAATGATGTCACATTCGCAGCTGCCAACACCACTGAACTCGACTGCGATGCACGCAATAATTTCGAATATTCATCCTGCAACCAACCGGTCAACAACCAACCAACAACCAATAACAACACAATGCAAAATAAAACCTTTTTAACCAGTTTCAATTTTCCGGTCATTGCAGCCACTTCGTCAGTATCTCGATTCATTATCAGTCCCACTAATTTCCATCTACAAATCATGATGACAATAGTTTTTGTGATACTAACAATACACTTTTAGGTATGAATATACAAAACAACGCACCTATCAGGTGTTCCGGCGGGATACTTCTCAGTGGTTAATTTGACCAAATGTTCCAAGTCTTCACAAGTCCATTTCTTACCTCGTGAAGAATAACTATTACTATCCAGCTGATGATTATTCAAACCGTCCTTATCAATATCAGTACTCATAACAGGCTTTAAATCACTCGCAACTGCGTATTCATAAACTGGTTGAGGTGACAACTCCATATAGATTGGAACCTTTCTCAGCGGCTCTTCTTCTTCCTTCAACATAAGCAATTATTATCTCATAATATGAAATTTGATAGAGTAAAACAAAAAATAGGAGAATAAACATGTAACTGACCTCAGGACGTTGTTGTTGTTTGAAGAAATATTCGTAGCAAGCAGTGATNCATAAGCAATTATTATCTCATAATATGAAATTTGATAGAGTAAAACCGAAAAATAGGTGAATAAACATGTAACTGACCTCAGGATGTTGTTGTTGTTTGAAGAAATATTCGTAGCAAGCAGTGATGAGTTCAGGTGAATGCAATACGACATGATAAGCGAACGAAATGAGAATGAAAGGTAGAAGTTTGGTTAATTTTGGTTTATCCTCAAGCAGTTGATCATCTATCATTTCATCACAGATACCCGCTTTTCTTTGTCGTTGAAGCTCTTTTTTACGATGCTTTGAACTTCGAGATTCCTAAATTTGTTCGCTCTTTTTTCGTCAACTCGGTTATTATTCAACAAAAAATATTTAAATGAACGATACACAACAAAACTAACAAGTATCCAACACTTGTCGATGTACGCTCCCCACATCATCAAGTAATGCGTTATCGTTGATATTAATAATAGCACAACCGTTGTCTCTATCCACGACAGCTTTCGAGCACGTCTAAGTATCATTTCTAACCGTTATTATGTTAAAGTCACATTAAAAAACTGATTGCATACAAGGACCAAACCTGAGATAATAAATAGGCTGTCTCCAATCAGGAAGACCGAACTCGAGAATATTATCATAAGCCTGCCTGAGTGAAGGTGATTTCAAGACGTCGTAAATGGCAGCTATCTGAATCAATCCACCACCCTTATCAATCCATCTCTTGCATTAATGACATCAACAAAGTGAGCATAATGAAACGAACCCGTCTAAACTGTTCATTTGCATCTTCAGCCTGATTTCGATCTGGATGTAACTCCATACTCAATCGGCGATATGCCTTTTTTACGTCGGATAAACTCGCATCCTGAAACATTTCATTACTCACTTATAATGAACCACCAGAATTTGCGTTTAGTGTTAAATATTTGGAGTGTATCGCAGAGTTTATCGCAAATTTGGAGTCGACAGCATGAATTCGCATCATTTCGGAGAGTTATTAAAAGAAATTTTAAACAGTGGAATGAGAATTTGAAAAAAAGAACCTTTTCAAGTGAAAATAATTCATAAAAATTAGCGTTCACTTCTTCAACGAGATCATACAAAGCTAATTCATCGGTCGACCAACAATCACACAATCTAGCCATCACCACACCGATAATCACTAACAATTTATCCATTATTAGTTCACCATTCCACCTGAATTCAGATTTTACACGTCACACGCCTTTGACAGCACCTCTCTTTTGCAGCATATTAAAATTAGTCGAAAATACAGGTCATTCAATTGAGTTGGAACAAGAAGAATGAGATCAAATGGAAAGGGGCGGGGAAATGAATAGATATGTTGGGGACGATTTGACAATTTTGAATTAACGGATATTGAGAACTGAAAGGTGACCAAACTGTAATCGTTTTCTAGAGTTTACTGAATCTAAGTTACCTTTAATTAGGGAGATAATAATGCTGCATGAACAATGCCTTCGAAATTATTCTTTCGAAGAGGCTGATAATGATAATTGTGAGTGCAGTATTGCAGATCGAGTAAAGGTGTGTGTGTATGTTTGAAAATAGCAGAACGAAAGTCCCGGTTGAGGGTATGGATGAGCTGTGCAATTGTCGGATTAAAAGCAAGACACAGCTGCAACTGCAATAATTCGATAATTCGAGATGGTATTCATGAGAGGAACGATGAAACATTATGTAATTGATTCGTTAAAGTACAAACAAAAAGCGCTTATTCATGTCTACTGATGCTTATCTGTCTGTTATTTGTTGAATAACACGAGATAGATACTGTCGCTTGATTTTGAAAATCGATTCAAGTCATTCAAGTAATTTACACTGGATTTGCATGGGTTGGCCATGAGAACTCAAGTTTGACAGCAATGTCAATTGTGGATGCTGTTATTGTGTGGTGAAGATAATCCCTTGATGAAGAAGAAACCTATTCAAACGTTGTTGCAGTGTATTTGATGAGTTTAATCGACGAATTCAACTAACTTTTAGATGCATGCCTACTAATAGATTTAATGTGAAGTAAATAAGTAAATCAATCAATCACCATGGATAAGGCTAATCCAATAATCAAATCGAACGGCAGACACATTACCGTTCTTATTCATTCCAATAAATAAGTGAATCAATGGGTCTTTATTCGATTAATTACCATCAGAAACGATCCAAACGAGATGTATTCACACAAATCACTAACATTTGTTTCGTTTCTTTACAAACAATCCTTTCATTAAAAAATCCTTCATTCTGATATTCTTTTCGTTTCTGTGCGATATATCGGCATAATATGTTATACAACAATATGGAAATATTAATAAAATCATTTAATAGCGACGAAAAAATGTTCTGAAAGATCGTTGCTTACAGAAGGCGATTAGAGATGCGAGTAGATATGCTGAAGAAGATGCAAGGGAAAAGCATTACTTGGTGACATGGGGGAGGGGGGTTATATTATGCGTATGGAAGCAGATGAATGGAGATTAATTTGACTTGAGATGAGAAATTATTGTGATTACGACTGAAACTGGAACGGTTCGGCGGATCGGAAAATGAAGAGAATATCGTTGGCCGAACAATCGAACAATGAAAAGCATGAACAAGTAATGAATAAATAAATAATTTAATTTACATCATGAACGTAATTTTCATAAATAACAAAATATGAATATCAATTGCGAGATGACGATCATGACAAGAATGAGGTTGATAAACAAATAATGAATAGAATGAGCAATTTAAGAATTGTTGATGAGATATGTTCATTGAATAATAGCGAGGCTGACGACGTTAACACATGATCCATATTTGCATCATTACACAGCGTGCCGGTACAGGAACACACCAGCACCTGGAATATAACACAGCTTAACAAACGCTTTCGCTTTCGCTGAAACAATGTTGATTATAGAATCGCTTAGCCATACCATATGTTACCAAAATTACATCTGAGGAATTAAACGTAGTTATTGTTTTCTTTATATGATACTCTTCTATCCTAGCAGCACAGAACCTGTTCTGCCCAATCATATGAACAAAGCACTGTGGTCTTGAGCAAAGCTGAGGATACAGGTAGTCTGAAGATAGTACTCCTATTNGATCAAATGTAGACTTTTTTGCGGTATAATAAAATCCATGTGCTGAGTGAAGTAACTGCAGAAACTAAGCTACAGCTAAGGAACTAACAATAAGCATTATCTGTATTTGGTGATATAGAGAGTGTGTTCAGTGATGAAGTGTTCGTGATTGTGAGCAGTGTTGGGTTTCGATAATGAAAAATAACCGACCAGATCGGTATCAGGCGTCAGCGATACCAAGTGCAGCAATTGCCTATCAGTGGCCCGGCACTCGTTCCTATCCACCAATGCATCTCGCACATCCTCATCCAATCCGAACAACAAAAATCTATCAACACATCCTCGCATCACAGCATGAGATGAAACTGAAACTGTTAACTTACTATCTTGACTCAAATACTTTCAACAGAACAAATGTCTGCGGATTCGATTCCGCTTTGCACTGAAAAACTTCACTGTTTGTTGAGTCCAAATGACATGTTGAAGTGATTAAAATGTATAGCGAAATGTTGTATTTGTGTTAATGATTGGTGGTGATATTGTTTGTGAGAGGCGAACCGTATATGGCATTCTGCATATACGCATTCAGAATAGAAAATGCATTCCGATGAATGGCATATTGAATCAATCAGTCATTCTTTGTTATTTTGCACACTCATCAGTTCTCAGCACTCCAACATGAAGTACTCTCTTCAGCTAAATAAGGACCACATCCTTCTGTCTCATTGATCATTCATAGAATTTCCTCATTCCGATCCTTTCAAAGAGTTCACCTTTCAAATACCACTTCAGTGCACTCTGCTCGACATAGTTCACGCCTTTAGCTAATGATCTACGATTTACAACCCGTGATATACCGATCCACTTTCAACTATTCATTATATCAAGTTTATTCTACACCACCTCCTGACTTGTTTTGCATACCACATGTTCGGAAAATCTTATAGAAGAACAACGAATTCTGATGGGCAGTCATTTTGGATAAGGAAAACGCAAAGTAGTAATATGATAAGGGAAAGAACGAATAAGTGAATAAATCAGAGTTGATGCATAATGTACGCTAGATATCTATTCATTAAGATGGCTGCAATTCATAATTTATTAATTGCAGATAGCGACGATATAAATGTCATTTGTTCGTTATACTGCACTTTAGGCTATAGCTTGTTCCTTCCTATTTGAGCGATAAGAAGGACGGACGCGTTATATAGTGACACCTTGAAGTATTAATATGATTCATGAAGATGATACCGCGAATCGCGATACTTTCAATTCAGTGAACATGTTATTTATTGTTATTGTTGAAATACACATTCATAAGGTTATAAACAATTGGCGAGAGTATCGTTGAGATTATTTATTCGCACTAAATTTAGCCGATGTATAATAGCTGATCCAGGATTTGGCATTTTCATTACAAGTTTTTGTTACGGTAGCTTATATTATTGGAGTTTGAAGTGTTTTGAGCAATCAATCATTTATTTGATTGGCTATAATAAGAAATGTAATAATTCATTCATAATTTCATCAAGCACCAATAGAAAATCGTTGCAAAATTCAGCTGAAATGAGAAAATGATAGAAATGTGATACGGATTTGATGATAAGAAATGATGAATAATTGAGTGGAAGCGATTCGACGTTGGATGAGTCAGTGTGTGAGTGTATTGTAGATAAATCAAGATCTTTTATGAGTAAATTCGAGATTTGTCTTCTTCTTAAAACCATTCATTCCCTCAACTGTTTTTTTTTTCACTCCACTTTCCTTTAATCTTCATACAGAACCCTTCATTTTTCCCGATTTTTAAAAGCTTTCAGAATTCAGTACGAGTTCGAAGACACGTGAAATTCATGCGGATGCTTATTCTGATCAGTGCTTCATAGATACGATGGAAGTAATCAATAGAGGGATTGAGCGGTTTTGATTTATCTAAGATGGATGTCTGAGATTAAACTGGTGGTATAATGACAGCAATAATAATAATAATAATCACAATGAAGAGGACGATGATTAGGATGTTGATATAATAATATTATAGTTGATAATAATAATANNNTTCTTGAAAGAAGTGCACTTAATATGGAGTGAATTTATGAAGATTCATAAATTCACTCCATATTCATAAATCAGAGTGCTATTGGATATAAGAGGAGAATTGCAATTGGAGGTATTATTTATTATTGTGATTGGTAAATGATGAATGGATGTAAAGAGATGGATTGATTCGTTTACGTGCATTTGATTTATCTATTCATTATTCTCGATAAAANAAAACACTCGAATTTCGTGCCGTCTAATTAAAGGTCCCTATCCACACATGAGTACGTAGTAATAAGGTAATTGCAGTCCATGAAAGTATTCCAAATTCAGTCGATCAACAATAGATGCGAGTTAATTAAATGTGCATATGATCCCAAGTGAAAGCACACATAAAACAAACAAAATATCCGTAATACATTAATCCAACATCGAGATTCTATATCATTTCTCACAAATATCACATTTCTGCACTTCGATCATGTCCGATATAGAAGTTTATATATGGTAATGATAATAATAACGCTACAGTCCATGTGATAATCAGTACTTTTGGAGGTTGCATCCTTAATCAGCTGTATGCGATTATTCGGTTTTAGGATGAATGAAGGATTTATGCAAAAACTGATTACAATTATTATTATAGTGATTTATTAATTCATTACTGCTGATGCATAAATTCTATTAATATTCATTTCGTATGCAACAAAGGAAAAATGAAAGTTTCATTGCACTGAAAATTTTTTGTGGACTTCGAAAGGAATGAAAAGTGCATTCGCTCATTAATGAGATGATTGATGAGGACAAGTGAAGTGTTACGAGTGATTTTGATTTATTCAAATTGGTGTATAGTTCAGAAATTGACTATAAGTGAGCGATGCGGTTCGATTTTGGAAGGGGAATTAGGAAGATTAGTGGTATGGTGTGTAACGAAGTTGGAGAAGAGGCTCTCAGTTCATCTGCTTGAGTTGAACAACAACGTTACGATTTATCATCGTTTGATTTTTCAATTCCAAAAGAGCTTTGGATTTGCACGGTAATGCTNATTGCATTCAGATCGACTTTTTGATCAATTCTTTTGAATGGAATTTTCGATAATCAGAGAGAAGATAGAGGGTATAATGGTGTATAGTTTGAGCTTAGAGAGTTGATGATAAAAACAACTAACAATGCTCGTAAACGTGCTCGACAAGCGTGAAGCAAGCCGTCGAGCAGTGCACAGTGCCCACATCGCTATCCGGATGCCAACAGCGCTCCGTGAAGTTCTTCGGTGGGAAATAATGATGCATGAGTTGATTCCATAGACTCAGATAAGCTGTACTCGCGCAACTATAACAGCGAGTTGTGTATACTGTAGGCTCGTTTAGGAGTAACATTATGAGCAGATAACAGAGCAGATGAATGACGGGTTGACGACAGATGCATTGATAGCAATTACTGGGGTGATACGGTCGCATCACATCGATAATGATATCGTGTGCATTTGATAGGCAGATGCTCTTCTGACTGTTGTAGTGTGTGACGAACAGTATTCACTGGCTAACGCTGACGAATCCAAATGCAGCACATATCATTGCTTATCTTCTGCAATATCGAAGCCACTTACAACAATTATAATAAAGTTCTTAGCAATCTCCGAAACAAAGGTTAGAATATGAAAAGGTATTAGCATATAAAAAAAGCAGTTCTTACACCTACTTGTTGTGTCTTATAGCACAACGATGGAAAATAAATGAAAAGGATTACGTTTCATCTGCTATCTGAAGAACAGTCACCGCTTTAAAAGAAGGGATGGAATGTAATGAGGGATGGACGGATATATGTATGGATATATATTATACAACACCACGCCCTGACTGCACACAAACCACTGCTCTGGATACCATGCTCTTTGCATATTGCTCCTATCTAATATTCAGTTGGTTGCGATTTTACATTCTACTTGAGGTATTGCGTTCATTTGCAAAACGTTTTAGTCGATTATTCACCTCACCAAAGAGTGTCAAATAATTAAGATGTTATAAATAAGACTAGTTCAGTTTGTTTGACGATTTGATTTGTACCTTTCGATCATAACTACCTTCTGAGAGCATCATTTCGACAATAACATGGCTATGTTGGAATGCGCACTTGTGTGAAGCCAGATGAAGCGATTCGGCACTGTATTATTATAAGATGAGGCAGTGATCAATTATTCGTATCCTTTTAAACAATTAATTGCAAAAGTATTCATACAAATGCATCCATGTTTGCCCATATAAATTCACTTGCTCATTCGTATTCATTTTTTGTTTCATTTCTTGCTCAAATATATTCATTTTTTGTTCCAACTTGCATGCTCATATAAAAGTTTTTGCGTAATTATTGTTG